GGAGGAGGAGGAGGAGGAGGAGGAGAAGGACGAGGAGGGGGAGGAGGAGAGATTGTCTCCCAGTTCAGCATTAAGGAGGAGGAGGAGGAGGAGGAGGAGGAGAAGGACGAGGAGGAGGAGGAGGAGAGCTTCTCTTCCAGTTCAGCATTAAGGAGGAGGAGGTGGAGGAGGACGAGGTGGAGGTGGAGGAGCAGGAGGAGAGCTTCCATCCCAGTTCAGCGGTTTGATCCAGGATCTGAGCTGAACCTTCGTTGCGTAACATCTGGCATCACAGAGTTCCTCCTTTGGTCTAAAAGTAAAGACCTGCTGCCCGTCAGCATCAGCTGAGCTAAAATTGGGAAAGAAAAAATATCCTAAAATGTTTTCTTTACACTTACGTATGTATCATGAAATGGAGAAGTGGGACGAGAACAACCAGCAGCTGTGGATGTTCTTCTTTTGCAGGCCTGAACTTTGGCACCATGAACTCCACCGTACAGCTGAGCAGGTTTCTTAATGCGGCGGTTGGGAACTACCTGCTAGCTGCTCGTCAGCTTCTTCACTGGTACAGGTAGGATGCACAGGAAATATCACGCAGAGTTCCTGCCATGCTCTGCCAGGGGACGGCCCCCTGCAGCCGGTCCCTCTGTTTGTGGTGTTGCTGGTGTAGGAGCTGAACTGTGCGGAGGAGTCTGTGTGAGGCACGGATCCAGAGAAACAGGGTCTGGCTACAGGGGAAGGCCCCATGGACCACGAAACCAACAACTGCAAACCGAAATGGAAACAGGCTCTCTGACTGCGCTGCTCAAACAAGCAGCTTTCACTTCTGGTTTTTCTTTGACCAATAAACATCTTCCCCATCTTCCTCTTGCAGCAGCTGAACCAAACTTTGAAACCAAACAAGATGTCCGAATGCAGCTCTGATGTCAGCCAGAACCACTGGACACGAGGATGGTCAACAGAAAGTCCCAGAGCTTTCAGGAGTAAAAGCGTTTCAGAAAAGTTCTAAAGTGATTTGGTTCGAAAGGGATGAAGCTCTAGATGGATAAAGTTCTAAAGGATAAAGTTCTAAAGGATAAAGTTCTAGAAGGATAAAGTTCTAAAGAGATAAAGTTCTAGAGCGATAAAGCCCTAGATGGATAAAGTTCTAGAAGGATAAAGTTCTAAAGGGATAAAGCTCTAAATGAATAAAGTTCTAGATGGATAAAGTTCTAAAGGGATAAAGTTCTAAAGTGATAAAGCTCTAAATGAATAAAGTTCTAGAGGGATGAAGTTCTTGTCATAAACTAGGACAGATGGACCCAGCATTCAAGGTGAGTCAGAGAGTGGGAAGTTTCAAAATGTTTAATGACAGAAAGATTATAAAATAGAATGGGACTCAGACTGCAGGAGGACGGGGCACCGTCCAATCACTGACCGTCTGGAGGGAGAGATACAGGTAACTGACCAGGATCATCTAACAGGAGATTATTATCCGCCTGATTGACTTACCTGGTTTAACAGGTCAATCCATCCTCTCCCAGGAAGCAGGATCAGCCGCTAGAACACCAAACGAGATAAAGAGCAGAGCCGTCCAAAGTGTCCCCGATGCAGCAGCCTCAGTGAGCAGGCAGGACACTGATCCGGGTCAGAGAAACAGTTCAGAGGGCTTTCGATCTGAACAGGATTAGACAGATCCAGGGTTCCAGGAATCCTCAGAGGGTTCAGGCAGGTTCAGACCAGCAGTGAGCTCCGGCAGACACACTCAGATGGAGACAGGCAGGCTCAGTGGAAGAGAGGAACATAAACAAGACATGGTACCAGGAAAGCTGCAGAACTTTAACTGGTCTCCACCTTGGAGCCAGACCTACGGGAATTAAAACTGACCCCCCCACCTTCCGAACCCAAACCATGAGGGCTCTGCGGAGAAAAGACAAACAGTAAACCCTCTAAAACCCCTGGCCTCTGGGGACGGAAACATGAACCAGGGACTTAACTTAGACTAATGCAACAAAACATGAATAACTGAGACAAAAACATAACGCCAATAAACTAAGAATACATGAATAAACAGAGAAAACACAAATGATCAAAGAATAATGATCTGGCCCTGATAGCTGGGCTGAACCGTATACATAGCAGAGAGAGCAGGTGAGATCAGTGATCATTAGAGAGCGAGGAGGGAACAGCAGGTGAATGAAGCCAGTAATTATATCAGCTATCAGGGCTGCGATCATGACGGTTCTACAGAAATAAAGTTCTAAAGGAAAAAGGTTCTAGAAGGATCGCACGTCTGCACTGAATGAGCTGCATGGTAAACACAGAAGCTAATGGCTAATTAGCATTCAGAGAGAAACGGTGGCAGCCTTTCTGAGGTACGCTGTGGTGTAAACATGTCAACTAAAGTCCTGGTTTCCATGGATCCCTCCTGTAAAACTACAATATAGTGATAATCATTAAAACACCAAATGGTTTATATGATTGTTGGATCTGCTAAATATTGCTAAAATCAAAGCTGGTTTATTGTTTCACCAACAAACTGACATCAATCTCTAAATGAGGAGTGAAGACAGGAGTTCTAGTTCTTGGTTTGACCAAAATGTAAATGAAATGTTTTTAGTTCTGCTTTGAGATGTTTGGATCGATGTCGTCTGAAGAGGAACAAGAAGATCACTGCTAATTGGTTTAGTGGAAGAAAAAGGTTTGAATCTGAGTAAAAAGAGGAAATACAACTTGTTTTTTAAAAACGATGACCGCTGTGTTTTAGCTTCATGTGATGTCATCAGATTGATGCACTGAGGAAGCTTCAGATGAGGCTGCAGGTCCAATAGGGACAGGAAAGGTGAGACAATAAGGGGGACGGTCGTCTCTCTGCTCTCTGGGCTGCTTTACAGTGAAGAACTACATCCAGGATCATTAAGGGAAGCATTTAGAGCATCCATAGCAGATCAGAGCACAGAAAATGGATCAGTGAACATTTTAAAGCTTCCAGCTGAACCTGCAGACCCTCCCAGCCTGAGATCAGGATTATCAGCACTGGAACGTTCTAAGGCCTCTTTAGACCCAGAGCGGCTGTGAGGTGGGGATGTAACTTTCCTCCAAAGTTCAGCTGCTGATCTTGAATTTGCTCCGTCGGCGGCTTCAGCTCCTCCATGTTCACCCCCGACCCATTGAGCCTCAGAAGGGGATGTTCAGATGTGTGAGGAGCCTCCAACCTGCGGCAGCATATCTCACAATGAATCAACCAACAGATGCTCAGCATCATACAGAAATTCCCACTCATGTTTGTTTGTTGCACGGTGACCTATAAACGTGGGAAATCTGAAAGCCACCCACCGCCGAGCTTCTTTCTTTCAGCACGCCACAACCTCCGGCCCGTCTTCCTCCCTACATCCCCCCTTTCATTCCACTGCTCAGTCTTTGCTTTTTTATTTAGAAGAAGGGAGCTTCACACTTTCAGCTGGAAGAGGCTTTCTGGTTTCACAAACTGCATAAACGTGTCCAACCAGAGGTGCTTCTGAGTTTCACTGCCACGAGGGGAGCCACCTCCACCACAGCCACCCCCCACTCGTTCTGCTCAAACCACAACTCTCTGTGCAACAACAACAAGAGAAAAACCCTTCCATCTCCACTCCAGCTCAGCTCAGCGTAAAAGGGAAAAACCTGAGAGAGAGGAGACAGATGAGTCCGGACTCCGAGCTTGCAGCACACAGCAGGTGAGTCCGACGTTGCTGGGATTTCTCTACCTTTACTCACCTGGAGACCAGGATGGAGCCGCTCTCTGGGCTGAACCAGGTCTGATGGGTTTTCCTTTGGGTTTCCCTGAACTCTTTCTCAGAATAATTCATGTAGCTGTTGGTTTGAAGCGGTCTGAGCTGCTGGTCGGGTGACGGATTGATGCGTTTGATTGTGAGCGGCGGCTCTTTGACATGTTTTGAGAAAACTGATGAAGCACGTATGCGCTGGTCGCTGTAAGCGTCCAGAAATGACTAACTGCTTATTTAAAGTGAAACCTTCAGGCAGACCAACTGCTCTAGGCGGACGGTTCTAGGCAGACAGCTGCAGGTGGACACCTGATGGTTCTTGGTGGACGGCTGCAGTTGGATGTCTCTAGGTGGATGGCTGCAAGCGGACGGCTCAAAGCAGACGGCTGTAGGTGGACGGCTGCAGGCAAACAACTGAAGGAAAACAGCTGCAGGCGGCCGGCTACACGCGGCCGGCTGTAGGTGGACGGCTGTAGGTGGACGGCTCTAGGTGGACAGCTCTAGGTGGACGGCTGCAGGCAAACAGCTGCAGGTTGACGGCTGCAGGCAAACAGCTGCAGGCAGACGGCTGCAGGCAGATGGTTGCAGGCAGACGGCTGCAGGCAAACAGCTGCAGGCAAACAGCTGCAGGCAAACAGCTGCAGGCAAACAGCTGCAGGCAGATTGCTGAGATGGACAGCTTAGCTGTGTCGTTTCTCTACACAGATTTAGGGTTTCATGGGGGCAGGAAGGAGCAGCCATTATTTGACTTCTGAGCAGCTTCAGAAAGATTGGCTTCAATCCTTTACAGCAGGATATTCCAACCTGCTCATCTCTGATGGGGTAAAAGAAAAACAGGAAGGTCAGTTCTCTTTTTAAAACGTCATTCAGTGTTAATCCATTTTCATTTTACCAGCAGCTTTTAACAGCTTCTAGTTGGTGACGTCACACTCCGACCCCATGCCCTCTGGAGGAAGAGAACCTCAGCATTAGACAGTCTGACAGTGAGAAAAGGATCGTTTTCCAAATGTGAATCTTTCTGACAGCAGATCCTCCTGAACTGTCTGGGATTGAAAATCTACAGCCCAGGGTCTTTAGTTAGATCCAGAGCTTCTAGAAAGGAGGACACATCGGGCTGATTAACGACTTCTGCCTCGATTACTGGAATCTTCCTCCTGTCCAATCAGCTCATTGGACAGACAGTCTGTCCTCAGAGAAAGGAGCCTCTGTGCCACATCCTGTTCAGTTCCAGAGAAACAGGAAGTGCCTTTGATCAGCAAAAACCAAACATGTGCTTAAAAACATTTAAAACCTTTTATTGTGCTCAAGCAAAATGAAGAGGTTTTGCTTTGCAGTGAAAGATGAGCAGGATTGAAAAATTTCATCAGAAGTTAAAACTGTTCTGCTGCAGATGTGCTTTTCATAAAACATCCATAAAGAGGAGCAGGCTGCTCCTCCAGGACCTGAGGAGCAGAGCAGATCCACTCTTCATTCATCTTCTCCTAACGTAGACTCACATGGAGACGCACTCATCTCCTCCTGCCTGCTGCTGTTCAGAGCTTTAAAGGTGGAGGAGCTGGAAGAGTCTGAGACAGAAACACTGAACTTTGACCTAATGCCGGAAAAACATCCCGAACCAAAGACAGAAGTAAGGAGTTAATGAGCTGAACCTGTATCCGAAGGTAAACCAGGTGAGCCTGCTGCTCGTCTTAAAACTATGGACTGGAAGGACTGGTTTGGTGGCAGGAAAATTCCCACATCTGATAGAAACACGTGTGAAAGGAGTCCAAGTGAAAACCACCTGAGTAGCTCTGCAGGTCAGTGGCATTTCAGACGGGTTTCAGTGTGACTCAGCACACAGAAAAACACCAAGCAGAGCCGCCACAAACTCCCACTGAGGTAAAATCCCAGACCAGCAGAGCAGCTTCACTCACCGTGTTTCAGGTGCATTTACCCAGGATGCACTGCGGCAGTCTGCTCTATAAACGCCTGCTGTGAGCGTGTGTCCCGTCGAGTGAAGCAGGTCTTCCTCTGTCTGCATCCAGCCGAGGTCTCAGTCTCTCTCCATCCTGCATCTCTTATGGTTTTTCCCTCCTGGACTCCAGTTTGAGTTTTCAGTTCCACTTTGATTGATGTTATTCTGTGTTTTCTTGTTCATTGGTTTCCTTTCTTGAGTCCCTCTCTGTTGCTCCTTTGTACCTGTTTCCCTTCAGCTTCCTTCTGGTTACTTCTATTCACTCTGCCATCAGGCTGAAATGTTCCTCATCAGCTCTTCTACTCTAACGACCTTAAATGAATCTCTGTAGTCACCTAGTCAGAGCAGCCCTGATGGATGGGCGGAGCTAAACCAGGACTGGGCTGCAGGTTCAGCATCCAGCAGATCAACCGATGGAAAGGCTGAGTTAATGGGTTAGAATGGACTAATCAAAATCTGGAGCTCACCTCAGACTGAGGGGAGCTCAGAGGAGATGTTTTAGCAGAGACCTCCACCTCTACAACAAAGTTCTACATTATCTAGATCTATCTGATAAAATCTAGTCCAACTTGACGAGGTTAAACCATCTGGTTGTAGCTCTGCATCATTTCTCAGTGTTTTTCCAGTGTAGTCCTGTTTCTCTGACTGTGACTAACTGGATGTGCTCTCTTCATCCT